GTACGTAAAAGTACGCCGTAAGTCAGTTGATGTAAGCTCGGAAATGAGATCATCTTGGGAAGTAAATAAAGTAAGTTAATCATATTACCTTGGAGGTAAAAAATATTTAAGATCATGAACTTCAAGTACCAAGAGGGTAGGAAGGTTTAGAAGCTAAACGAATCGAAGAAAATAAGTTTCGTTGAAAGTCGGCAAGTTGAAAATGTTATAACCCGTTTTTATCCGACCGCCGCCCCTAAAATCCCTAGAACCTTCCCCTTTCTCTGAAGAACCCTAATCGCCGCCCTTTCCAATCCCTCTCTTAATCCCGTTAACAATGGGATTCACCCATTATTTGCTTGTCATATGTATGTTCCTTCGCTACTGGTTGCTTCTTTATGGTATCACCTAAGTACTTGCTTGATTTGGAAAGTATCCTCTATAAAACGGGTCAGGCAGACTCAATTCTAGGAATTTGGATGATGATTCCGCCTATATACGCTCAACAAGGAGCGATTTGCACCTCAGATTCAATTTTCAAGCGATTGAACCCAATTACGGTTTGAGATTCTATAACTCCTCTACTAATTCTGATTTTGCATGTGATATTTCCTTTCCTTATTTGCACTTAATTGATTGTTTTCCTTGTTTGTTCGTTCAATTTCAACACTATATAAACCCCTCCCTTAATTCCCCTAAAAAGGACCTTAGTCACTGAAATTAACTACTGTTACTCTCTTATTCTCTCATTCTATACTATTCTGAAATTTGAGACCTTGAACGGCTGAAAGCCAAGGCCACCGGAAATTCGATCGTTACTCTTTCTCAGTGCGAGCACTGCCCGGGGTTCACTTGAAACCCTTAGAAACTCTGACGCACTGGGAGTTTGGAGGTATTACTGTTCGCTTGCTATTAACACTAAAGTATTGCTGAAATCACCCTTTTTGTTTACTTGTTCTCCTATAACTGGTAATGTATCTATGACTCTTGAAATTTCCTTTTCTCTCTGTTTGTATTCATATTCTGCACATCTATGTCTCTAAGAATTTGTATGAATCAACATGCCATTATATATTTTTGTAGTTCTTTTTGAGACTCCATGCCTCATGGCAGTTCAGCCTGCCTATTTTGATTCTGCCTGCTTGGGTTTGCTTGCTAACACCTGTGTTCGAGTATTTGTTACTGGCGTTTAATCTGAGTTTGGTTTCTTTCCTTGTTCTACATTGTCATGGTAACTGATGCCCAATATGTGTTCTGACTCCTATTGAATCGTTCATGTATAAATTAGTGCTTCCCTAAGAGTTAGTTCTTGATCATGTTATTAGCTAAGCATGTGTTTCCCCTGTTTAATGTGTGCTCCCTCATTTGTTCACTCATGTGCTCGTTAATATTGCCTAACACTTCTAGGATGAGATTCAATATATACCTCTTCCCCTATATGTGGTTAAGACCTAGTGCTTGCATGTCCTATTAATCTGGAGTTGAAATATCTTCACTTATCATGAATTCTGGTATTGTTTTTGAACCTTTATACTAGGATTGATACTCAATATATTAAGTCACATGGTCAACTAAGTGATACGCTTCTGATTCTCATGGTAATTGTTTAAAGTCCTTTAGGCTAATTTTGGACTATGCTTTGCTTTGAAACTCTATCTGGCATAGTTTGTTACCTTACGATGTTCAAACCTGTCATAGGACACTTGTTTTGTTTGTACCATATGTGCTTGTAAAGGATTTTGTGTAACCTTATTTGCATGTCTTTGTTTGTAAATCCCCGCTATCTCTCTATTAGTTATAGCATTAAAGATGAAACTCATAAGTCTTAAAGTTTGTTTGGCTGGTTGATAGTAGGATATATTTATGCAATTTAGACACTATTTACACTCTAATTTAGCCGCACTTTATTGATATTTAAATGCTAAAAGATAACAAAATGCTCTAATTAAGAATTTGATGCTTTACAGGAGCTACTCCGAGCTAGGATGGAGCTAATGAGTGTTTTGGAGTCAACATGGAGCATGGAAGGCCAATCAAAGGTTAGCCCGGTCGAAAAGGAGCGAGAAAAGCAAGCGAGACGACTCCTCCGAGTGCGCGGCTGCGAAGTGAGCCGCGAATTAGCTGCGAACTCAAGGCAGTGAGGCAGTGGAAATCCGCTGCCGGATCCGCGGTCGAATCTGCGGCCGCGGATGGGCTGACAAAAGCCAAAAATGCAGAGTTAATTATGTAATTTCCTGAGCGGCTAACCTAAACCTATATGCAGCCAAAACTCTCCCAGAAGTCATATAGAGCTGGTTTTAGAAGATTTTGGAGCGAAGAACAATAGCCCTAGATCCTTTTATTCAATTTTAGTCTTGATTATTGCTAATTTTATTGTCATTTTTCCTTAGCTAATAAATTCCACTGATTAGTCATAAAACTCTTGCATCCAGAAATTGTATGAGCTTATCATTAGCATTATTTAAAGTTGTAGTAAATAGGTTAGTTCCTCGTGGGATTCGACTCCGGACTTGAATCAGGATATATTTGCAGCGACCGCTTAGTCCTTTTTATAAGGCATAGTTGGGCGTGATCAAATTTTGGCGCCGTTACCGGGGAACTAACGGTGTTATTTATTACAACTCAGAAGAATTGATAGGACTTTTAGTTTAGATCAATTTCTTACGGTGTTTAAATTTTTCCATTGAAATTCTCACGTTTGAATTCTCCTGTGAATCAGGTATATGCCTAGAAGCTCTTCGAGGACTGGTGAAATTTTTGAAGGACTCTCAGACCCCGAGGAAGCATTCAGGGCATTAAATCAAGCCAACAAGAAGAAAAAACAGTTACAACAAAAACACACACTCGAAACTAAAATGGACAATGTGGACGATGTCAACGGAAACAATCGGAATAGTCGGGTTGAACCAAACAATGGAGTGCTGGCACCTCTTGTGCCAGAAGCTGCTCTTTATGATTGGGCACAACTAACTGCTGATAACCTGGCCACCGCCATTGCTGTATCTCAGATACAAGCGGAGACATTCCAGATCACCAACAACATGATGCATCTGTTGCAAAATAAGGGATTGTTCTCTGAGTCATACATTGAAAACCCACAACAACATCTAAAGAATTTTCTATCAATATATGTGACCCAAAGACAGCCGAATGTGACTCCTAAAGCCATCAAGCTATTACTGTTTCCATTCTCTGTGACTGGAGTGGCTCAAACTTGGCTGAATTCGCTCCCAATAAACTCCATTGCCACTTGGGAAGAATTAGTCAAACAGTTCTTAAACAAGTTTTATCCTCCCAACAAGACTGAGGAAGATTGATGAGATATTGCAGTTCAGGCAGAAACCAACTAAGACCTTGCAAGAAACCTGGGAGAGGTTCAAAGGTATGCTGGTGAAGTGTCCACACCATGGCATTCTAGATCAGATGCTGGGAAAGAGATTCTATATGGGTTTAGCAGACAGTTTGAAGGCCAATGTAGATGCTTCAGGTGGGGGTCCATTTTTGAGCAAGACATTCACAGAGTACAAGATTCTTCTTGACAAGATGGCTCAAAATTCAGGCTGGATGACTAGAGGTATGACACTTACACCAATTGTGCATTATGTTGCTCTTGACCCATATAATTCCCATGCAGAGAACATAACCACTCTCATGACTCAGATAAGCATACTAACAAAGAAAATTGATGAGATAGGTACAAAGCAAGTGCACATTGTTGATACAACAAATGGAGGATTGTGCACTCCTTGTATAAACCAGTCCTATGTGTGCTCATGGAGTAGAGAGAATGATAACCAGGGCTTCAGAGAAGACGTGAATAATGTTAATAATTTTGGAGGTCAGAGGCAAAGTGGGAAACAATGGGGACCAGCACCAAATCAGCAGTACAGGCCCAACCTGCCACAACACAACCCCAATTCTGAATGCGCACGACCACAAGGTCAAGTTGTACCTAATCAAAGGCAGCATGGCTATAATCAGAAGCACCACCAACAGTTGGCCTACCAACCACCTCATATACAACAGGACAGCAACATGGTAGAAATCAGGGGTATGCTGCAACAACTCATTGGAAAAAATGGCAAGATACAAGAAAAGTTAGCAGCACATGATTCAGCAATCAAAGGCATTGAACCTCAACTGGGACATCTGTCTATGGCCTTGAACAATCGCCCCCAAGGAACATTTCCTGCAGATACAAATATTAACCCAAAGGAGCAAAACCCAAATCAGCTAATGGTAGTGAGTCTCAGGAATGGAAGAGATTTAGACAGAGAGCAAGCAGTTGCTTAATCTAGGAGAGAGACTATGCCAACTACTCCAGTTACATTAGAGGCATAAGGGTCAGCAGAGCTCACTGAGGTGGTAGTTGAATAGGCACATGTTGACAAGGGTAGTGCGAAGGAAGGTGAACAAGTCTCAGAACAGGTGGCACCTCTTGTGCCAGAAGCTTCCAACAAAGAAAAGACATTAAGTAGTGGACAGAGGTTGACTCCTGCACCATTCCCTCAGAGATTGGCAAAACAAAAGAAAGATGATCAATACAGGAAATTCATGGAAATGCTTTGACAGATTCAATTGAATATTCCACTTATGGATGCTTTGAGGGAAATGCCAGGGTATGCAAAAATAATGAAGGACTTGATGTCGCGGAAATTTGACTTCCAGGACCTGTCCACTGTAACTCTGACACAGACCTGCAGCGCGGTAGTGACAAAACCTATGGCCCAAAAGGTGTCTGATCCAAGTAGCTTCACTATCCCATGCACTATTGGGAGTTATGCTTTTTCTAAAGCATTGTGTGACATGGGAGCCACCATAAACTTGATGCCCTTGGTAATCTATACAAAACTGGGCATTGCAAGAGCTAGACCGACCTCAATATTGCTGCAACTGGCTGATCGCACAGTCAAAAGACCGACAGGTATTCTTGATGATGAGCTTGTGCAAGTGGGGAAATTTGTATTTCCTGTAGACTTTGTTATTCTTGACTGGCAGGTGGATAAAGAGATACCTATCATTCTGGGAAGGCCATTCTTAGTCACTATCAGAGCATTAATTGATTGCGAGACTGGAGAGTTGAGAATGAGTTTGAACAATGAAGAAATAATATTTAACGTTCAAAAATCCATGAGGAGACCCAGTGAATTTGCAAACTGCTCATTAGTGGAGGCCGTGGATGTGATACTATAAGAAGAGGATGAGACCCTTAATGTCAAGGATCCACTAGAAGCCTGCTTGATGAATTTGGAAGAGATGGATGGTGAAGGGTTGGCAGAGTGGGTCATGGCTCTCGAAGGTCAAGGATTCTAGAAAAAGGAACCTCAGTTCAAGCCCCTACGCTTAGAAGAGAGAGCAACACCACCTGCAAAACCATTAATAAAGGAGCCACCTGAGCTGGACTTGAAACCGCTTCCAGCCCACCTCAGGTACGCTTTCTTGGGGCCTAATTCTACTTTGCCTGTTATTATATCATCTGGTTTGCTAGTTGTGCAGGTAGAGCAACTATTGCAGGTATTGCAAGAATGTAAGACTGCCATTGGGTGGACTATGGCAGACATAAAGGCTATCAGCCCAGCCTTTTGCATGCACAAGATTCTTCTGGAAGAGGGGCACAAACCTTTCAGGGAATATCAATGACGGCTGAACCCGAATATGAAGGAAGTAGTAAAGAAAGAAGTGATCAAGTGACTGGATGCAGGTATCATCTTCCCCATCTCTGATAGCAACTGGGTCAGTCTTGTCCAATGTGTGCCGAAAAAGGGATGAATGACGGTCGTACAAAATGAGAATAATGAGTTGATCTCGACTCGTATAGTCACGTGGTGGCGGATTTGCATGGACTATCGGAAACTGAACACAGCCACTCGAAAGGACCATTTCCCCTTGCCTTTCATTGACCAAATGTTGGACAGGTTAGCCGGGCGGTCCCACTTCTGTTTCTTGGATGGATACTCGAGGTATAACCAGATCTCAATAGCCCCGGAAGACAGAGAAAACATCATTCACTTGTCCATATGTCATCTTTGCCTTTCGGAGAATGCCCTTTGGACTTTGCAATGCACCGGCTACATTCCAGCGGTGTATGTTAGCCATTTTCACTTACATGGTGGAGGATATTATGGAGGTGTTTATGGATGATTTCTCTGTGGTGGGGGATTCATTCGAAGATTGTCTTCACAACTTAAGAAGAGTGCTCAAAAGATGTATGGAGACAAATCTGGTGCTGAATTGGGAAAAGTGCCATTTTATGGTACAAGAAGGAATAGTGTTGGGGCATCGAGTTTCCAGCAAGGGCATTGAAGTAGACCATGCCAGGTTGATGTGATTGAGAAGCTGCCACCACCCACTTCGGTAAAGGCAGTGAGAACTTTCCTTGGGCACGCCGAGTTCTATAGGCGATGCATTAAAGATTTTTCCAAAATTGCTAACCCCTTATGTAAGCTACTTGAAAAGGATCGGCCCTTTGTGTTTTCTAATGATTGCAGGTTGGTTTTTGAGGAGCTGAAGAAGAGATTGGTGAATACACCCATCATAGTTCCACCCAACTGGGAGCAACCATTCGAGCTCATGTGCGATGCCAGTGATTATGCTATAGGAGCAGTCTTGGGGAAACACAAAGACAAGATGATGCACCTGATTTACTATGAAAGCAGGACGCTCAGTGGCGCACAGCTCTATTACACTGTAACGGAAAAGGAAATTCTGGCTTTAGTGTTTACTTTCGACAAATTCAGGTCGTACTTAATTGGTTCAAAAGTTATTGTTTATACTGACCATGCATCAATTAGGTACTTGATAGCAATGAAGGAGTCAAAGCCACGCTTGATTCGCTGGGTTCTTTCGCTACAAGAATTCAATCTGAAAATCCGTGACAGAAAGGGGACGGGCAATCAAGCGGCAGACCACCTCTTAAGATTGGAAGGAGCTGAAAAGAGAATGGAGGTTGAAGACATAACAGAGACATTCATGGATGAACAGTTACTTGTTGTGACAATGGAGGAGACGCCATGGTATGCTTATATTGCTAACTTTTTAGCAAGCGGTATTGTACCTTATGAACTCTCCTCAATTCAAAAGAAAATGTTCTTCCGCGATTGTCGAGCCTATTATTGGGACGAACCTCTATTGTTTAAAATATGTGTAGATAACATGATCCGGAGGTGTATCCCCGAGCAAGATCAAGCTTCTATTTTGTAGGCTTGCCATGCTTCACCATATGGTGGGCACTTTGGAGGAATCTAGACAGCAACAAAAGTGTTGGAATCGGGATTGTATTGGCCTACCCTGTTCAAAGATACTCATGCTTGGGCCAAAAGTTGCAATGAATGCCAAAGGACAGGCAACATATCTCGCCGTCACGAGATGCCGATGACCACAATTCAAGAGGTGAAGGTTTTTGACATGTGGGGGATCGACTTTATGGGGCCGTTCGTCAGCTCGTATGGTAACAAATATATATTAGTAGCAGTTGACTATGTCTCCAAGTGGGTCGAAGCGGTGGCTCTCCTGACCAATGATGCAAAAGGGGTAACAAGTTTCCTAAAGAAAACCATCTTCACACGTTTTGGCACCCCGAGAGCTATAATCAGTGATGGTGGAACCCATTTTTGCAATAGAGCGTTCGCACATATATTGGAAAAGTATGGAGTTTGCAACAAAGTAGCCACACCGTACCACCCACAGACGAGTGGGCAAGTTGAAGTGTCCAATGGGGAAATTAAAAGTGTCCTGTCAAAGACAATGAATGCAACAAGGACAGATTGGGCGAAGAAGCTGGATGATGCATTATGGGCGTACCGCACAGCATTCAAAACTCCAATTGGTATGTCACCGTACAAGTTGGTATTTGGAAAGGCATGCCACCTTCCGGTAGAGCTCGAACATAAAGCACTTTGGGCACTGCGGAAGTTGAATCTGGATATAGAGACCACAGGCACCAGCAGAGTCACTGAGTTATATGAGCTTGAGGAATTTAGGTTCCATGCATTTGAGAATTCTAGATTATACAAAGAAAATATGAAAATGATCCATGATAAGCACATCTTAGATCGAAACTTCAAGCCCGGAGATCTAGTGTTGTTATACAACTCGAGATTGAGATTGTTTCTGGGTAAGTTAAAGTCCCGATGTTCAGGACCCTTCAGAGTGGTGTAAGTGTTCTCAAGTGGAGCTGTAGAGATTGAATCCAAAGATGGGACAAACAAGTTCACGGTAAATGGGCAAAGGTTAAAACATTACCTTGGAATGGTCGAAGAGAAAGGGGATAGAGTGGTAATAACTTTGGAAGAGCCCCAGTACGTGAACGAGGAGTGATAATGAAAGCATGCGTCGTGTCGCCACGTTAAATCAGGCGCTTCTTGGGAGGCAACCCATTAGTTTTCTTACTTTGGTTGTTGTAATTGATTTTGAACGACTTTGACCGATCTACTAGTGTGTAGGGCAAAAGATTATGCGCATAGGAAGGATTCGGGGGTCGAAATTAACCCAAGAATAGGTAAAAATGCGGCAAAGAAAAAATAATTGGCTGGAGACGAAGATCAGCGGCCGCGAATTGGACCGCGGATATGGCCATGGATTTTGGCCTGTGTTCTATCCCCCATCCACGGCTGCGAATTGGACCGCGGATTGGGCACGGATTTTTGGTCCCCCTCTGCCCATAATCCGCGACCGTGGACGCGACTGCGGATATGGGGGCGTGTCCACGTAAGTTTATTTCTTCTATTTTTAGTTAAATTTTTTTATTTTTCCCTAACTTAAACGCCACCACCCCCACTTCCTTTCCCATTTCCCCCACTTCTCTTCTTTCCTTCCTAACTTCAAGTCCCCAAACCCTTCTCCTTACCCCCATATCTTAAACGCCCCTCCTTTCTGTAATGATCCGGCCGGTCGTTTTGAGAGTTATAGCCCCGTTTTCCCCATTTCTACTTCTTTTGTGTTAATTATCTATATTATGTTATATCGAGTTAGTTGGTTTGGGATGTTAGTTTGGGACGTTAAGAGTGAATTGAGACATTTAATCTCTTAAGTAGAAACTTAATAAGGAAAAGTCAATCGGATGTTGACATATGTGTAAACGATCTCGGATTTGAATTCTGATGGTTCTGTTAGCTCCGTTAGGTGATTTTGTACTTAGGAGTGTGTCCGGAATGTGATTTGGAGGTCCGTGGTAAAATTAGGCTTGAATTGGCGAAATTGGAAATTTGGCGATTTCGGTCGGTAGTGAAAAATTTGATATCGGGATCGGAATGGAATTCTGGAAGTTGGAGTAGGTTCGTAGTGTCATTTGTGATGTGTGTGTAAAATTTGAGGTTATTCAGATGTGGTTTGATTGGTTTCGGCATCGGTTGTCGAATTTGGAAATTTAGAAGTTCTTAGGCTTGAATCCGAGGGTAATTTGATGATTTGATATTGTTTTGGGTGATTCGAAGGTTCGACTAGGTTTGTATGTTGATATATGACTTGTAGATATTTTTGATTGAGGTCTCGAGGGCCTCAGGTGAGTTTCGGGTGATTAACGGATAGTTTTTGGACTTTGCAAAATGGCTGATCTGCTGGTATGAACTTTTTGGTTTCCTTATACGCGATTGCGTGGGTAGGTCCGTGATCGCGTAGGCTTATTTGGGGGCAGAGGTGAGTTGTTCTGTGCGATCGCAGGATTTGGGACGCGATCGCATGCGTTTGTGAAGTTTTGCTTTGTGAACGCGTGGACAGTGTCGCGTTCGCGTAGAGGTATCGAGCTGGTGAAGAGGCGAGGTGATTGCTCTACGCGATCGCGTGAGGTAGGATGCGGTCGCGTAGGTTTGAGAGGTAGTGATCCGTGATCGCGTGGGTAATTTCGCGTTCGCGTAAGGTTAATGTGTGGGCAACCTGCTTTGTGCTTCGCGATCGCGAGGCCATTTCCGCGATCGCGATTAAGGAAAATCCGCGATCGCTATTAAGGAAAATCTAGGCAGCAGTGTTAAATTCCAAAATAGAGGGTTTGGACTCATTTGCATATTTTGAGCTAGAGACAACGGATTTAGGCGATATTTGGAGGGATTTTTAGGGAGTTGATTGGGGTAAGTGTTTCTCACTTGATTTTGGTTAAATTCGATGATTATATCTTGATTTTTATCATTTAAATTGTGATTTGGGGTGAAAAATTGGGGAAAAGTGGTAGAATTCTTGAGATGGAATTTTGAGGTTTTGAA